GGACAGTTAACTTGCTAATAGGTGAAGGACAGTTAACTGATCGACAAGTAAAGGATAATTAACTTCTCGACAATTGAAGAATGGTTAACTGGTTGACTAATGAAGGATGGTTAACTTGTCGACAGGTGAAGAATGGTTAACTGGTTGACTAATGAAGGATGGTTAACTTGTTGACAGGTGAAGAATGGTTAACTGGTTGACTAATGAAGGATGGTTAACTTGTCAACAGGTGAAGGATAGTTTATTTGTCCACAGGTGAAGGATGGTTAACTGGTCAACATTGCTTGGTCTTCGATGTCAGTATTATTTATAAATATCTAGGCCAAAAAGCAATACCCTTGCATCTGTAGGAGGGAAAAATTCATCTAGGATATAAACTACAAAGTAAGAATGGTAAAATGTATCCTGGTAAGAAATATGCATGTTATTGTGTTGCCCTCTCTTTCCCTTCAATAATAAATTTAACAAGTTGTTTCTAATTTTAGAACCATCCATGGTAGCTCTATACATATGCATAACCTGTTAAAACAAGCTCTACATAATCTACAAAAAATCAACTCATTTAAAAATACTGACACACGTTTTGCGTCTAACAACAGACAACCAATGCTGCTTTCAATGCCTATTCCAGCTTCATAAGATAAAATGAAAACTATTTGAATAGTTTTAGGTTTTCATGGATACTTTTGATCATATAATATATAGAACACAATTGGTGATTTGTGCTGTGCGCACCATGGGCATCGAAGTCCTGTTTTAAGCGTCTTCAGACTTACCGTTGAGCCACTAGGGGCGCTTGAAAAAAGGAAAAATCACTGAACGTACTGGTGTGATACATCTGCACAGCAGCCCCAACCTAACCACTCCGTGGTAAATACAAACTTTAAAAATGTGTTAAGAAAATACATTCCACACCTAACATGACATCTATAACTAACAACATTAAAGAGAGAGCGGTACTACAGACTAGTACATACATGTCCTCCAGGGAGCTCAATTCTATACTATCTATCTCGGAAGGGCTGCAGACCATATACCACCCAGCATAGGTCTTAATGAAAAAAGGCCGTTCTCGTGATGCCATCATAAAGGGGTGAAGAATGATGAAAACAATCATATTGAGGGAAGAATACTCCTGCTCCTTATTTGCTAAGGATAAATTATTTGGATTTTTATAATGACCCTCTTAATCCTTTGAATTTGTCTCTACCATTCCACGTGTGTAGTATAGTGGAGTACTATCATAGTGTGGACCTGATTTAGCTGTATCCAAGTTGGTCCACTCGTAATAGTTAACAAAGCTATGATTTTGTTGCGTGTTTTATGATTCTGGGCAATGATGCACTGTTTGTGTTGATGAAATTTTATGGAACAATACCATATCTTTTAATGCACCATTGTACACATCACGTTTTGTTCAACATTTTTTTTTGCGACAAATACCTTGGTCAACTCAAAGCTTTAATTCAGTAACAATAACGATAATTTAATCAAAACTAAAACACATAGAAAATAAAGAAGTAACAAGCAAAAGTACTGTACATATTAAAAATGTGCAATTTAAAATAAGACTGCACGTTATTCAATGTTAGTGAAAGTTGTTTGATGTGGAGAGTTTATTTAGTCAGTAATTCATCGTTACTACCCCCAAGTTGATTTCAGATTAGTTTTTAAACCCACATCGCGCATACAGGATTTTTTCCGTACTAAAGACCTTCTCCCAATTTCTTTTTGTTCATGGCTTATATATATTTACATGTATGGAGATTGTAAGGCCTCCTATATTGGCAAAACCAAACGCCATCTACTAGTTAGAGCCAATGAACATATGGGACTTTCCATGAAAACACAAAAAAGTTGAGTAACTCCTGTGCTTCCTCTATACGCCAACATAGTGAAGAAACAGGACATGAATTTAGATTATCAGATTTCAATATCCTTTGCATGATCAACACTGATCTAGAATTACTAACTAAAGAAATTCTCCACATCAAACAACTTTCACTAACACTGAATAACACGCAGTCTTCTTTTAAACTGCATATTTTAAAATATGTACAGTATTTTTGTTTCTCACGCTTTTACTTTCTAGGTGTTTTAGTTTTGATTCAATTGAGTTCTATGGAGGAGCTCTGTGATATTTTGCATCGTTGCCTGGGAGACAAATTCTAAAGCCTCAAAACACTTGAAGGGATATTATACTGCACTAAATTTATACTAACAATTAGTGACTGTCACAGGTATCAAACCTCGATTTTTAGCGTACTAAGCTATTAAGCTTATCGCTTAGCCACCGGAGTGGCACGTATAGAGGAAAATAGGAAGTGGAAAGGAAAGGAACTCCATGAAAGCAATTAAAATATACAAAATAAAATGATAAATCACTTAAAGCAATTGAAATTTCCAATCTGAATGGTACTCTATGCGCACGTAGGCTTTATGTCCAGGTCAAAGGCCCCTAACATTCAAATATAGCCATCCCTAATTTTTATAGTATTCACAAGAAAGAAGGCGGATGGCCAGCAGTAGCAGCTGTCACCATAAGGGAAATGGACTGTCGTATTTATTACGT